TTTACTTAATTTTTTGAGCATTTTCGGAAATTTTGATGAAAGGATAAAAACGTAAATGATGAGGTTAATCTATGTTAGCAAAGCTTTTTTAAACATTAAATTGTCTAAATTAGTTTTTTAAACTAGGTCAGAGAACATTTCTTAATTATTTAGTTTGATAATATTTCCTTTTATTTGGCATATAGTAAATTGTATTATTCATGAGCTAAAGTTTCATGAGATGAAGTTATAGGCTGATTAGCGATAGAGAAGATATTGATAACCTTGAACCTATTAACGACAATCTGGCAATAGAGCGGTGAATTAGATAGCGGGCCCTAAAAATAGACAACCTGTCTTGTAGGTTTTTGAAGTTAGAAACTGACTAACAGTAACTCACTTCCTAACATTTGGCAATAACTAAAAATAATTCTCGTTTTTCAGGCTATATATGTTTTAAGGGGTAAATCTCTGCTTATTTCGCACCAGTTTTACTGAAAGAAACCGTGGGTCATTGATAGATCCTTTTATTTCTCTTAGTAACTAATTAAAGCATAAGTCTCATACATGATCTTATCATAGATCATAAACGATCTGGTCCTTCAGTTAAAATTATATTTATTTAAATTTAAATTGAGGAGGTTGATTAAATTAGTACAAATGAGCCAAAAATGGATGAAAAACTGTCTTAAATGCCAAAATAAGGTTGGGGTACTTAGGTTAGTTTTAATAAATTTAAATTGAAGGAAAACATTATAACCTAACCTCTGTCAGATCTGGAACGGAATATTGTGGAAGTAATTATTATTAAAAGGAAAATTAGTGATATATAAGAAAAGAAACTAATTCAACTGGACTGAGCAAATGGGGGAAAATAATAACCCTGAAAATTCAGGTTGATTTATTTCTCAGCTCTTTGGCTGAGACAAATCTGCACCTGCAGTCTAGACTTCAAACTTCTTTTTCCCCCTTTTTCATCATACTCTTGATGAAATTGACATTTGCAACTTTTAGATTTTTTAGCATAAAAAGTCAAAAATTGAAAAAATCAGGTCAATTTATCAGTTTTGCGCCTGTCTTACTTAATTAAAAACTCAGTCTTTATTAGGATTGCAAAAGGACTGAGGGCTTTGTCGTCGAGCTGACTGCTTTTCAAAGCAAGACACTAAGCCAGCCCGCCAAACTGGCTAATTACCGGGAGATGAGGGCTTCGAGCCACGCCAGGAAAATTTTTTTCTGCTTAAAATAGCCTTTATCTAGATTACTTTTTCGCTTGTATTCTCAAAACTCCGCTCTATCGATTAATTCACGAAAACGAAAGACAAATGACTAGTTTTTTCTAAAACTTTCACGACTTTTGACTTTCGAAAACATATATAACAATCACTGAAGAGTATGTTTTTGCTCTTTCACACATGTTCTTTCACGACAAGGCATGAAAGAAAACTGAAATATCAGAACGTATGAATGAAAAAAGAAATCATTGGCACAGTTTTGCGCACTTTTCCGGGCTCTTTCACAATTTTCTGGCATCTTTCCCTCAGAAAGAGCAAAAACATACTCTTCAACAGTTAGAACATAGTTCAAGATGACCTCGGGCAAAAGAGCCGCACTCGGGCACTTCGTGCCCTCAGGCCGGGCTCTTTTTCCCTCGGGCATCTTTCAACTATGTTCTAATTACTACTAAGAAGTCTAAAAACCTTTCAATTTCGAAAGCCCTTTCATAAACTATTTTATCTTTGCAATTTTATGCCTTGACCCTAAAAAAAGACAAGACTGCTCGTATCAGGGCGAAGCCCTGAATGTTCCGACTGCCTATTAAGGTTTATGAAGCAGTAATAACATTAAAAAATTAAAAGTAATAAAACAAAATTAAATTTTTTTTTAAATTTGAATTTTTTTAAATAAAAATCATCCCCCCCACACGCCATATAAAGTACAAAAGGATAGATTTCGCTACTTGTAACAAGTCAATTATGGCAAATAAGCTTCGTTAAACCAATTTGGAACGATTTCTAAGACGGATTAACTCTCCGCTTACGCGTTAATAGCGTTAAATATATCGCGCGTTAATTGTCCCAAATTGGCCAAAATGGCAACCTTTAAACCCCCATAACTTTACGAAAAAAGATCACAGGTGAAATATCTTTTCAAATTTCAGCTCAAGACAACAATACCTTTCGAATGATATAAAAAAATTCCGTCAAAAATGGCTAGTTAAAAAGTCGAAATTTGTCTGAAGAAAAAAAAAACCCACCCCGAGCACAAATATTCCGTTACTTTCATATCGAAAGTCGGAACAATTAGCGTTATGGACCTTTTCCAAGAGTGCTTAAGTTTTATAAATATAGCTGTTATATAATCTATTGGATAAATTCATTCAATTGATTGCCAATTTTGATAAAATCGAACAAAAAAAAACAGAATCAATAGTGGATTTTTTTTAGTTCAGTAGGACATCCAAGAAGTAAAATCCACTTTTGAATTAAAAATCTTACACGTTTTTAATGAACCATTTGCAATTTTTAATTGCAGAGCGCAACTTGGTTTGAATTTAGCAATTGAGCCAGTATATAAGTAAAATGCAGACCAGCTTACCAAAATAAAACTTTTAGGGTAAAAAGTGTGAAAAACTGAAAAAGAGCCTAAATGATTTTCATTTTTGAATTAATCATTAAAAACTTTTTTTACCGTATCATCCTAAACCAGACATCTTTTAACGATGTAGGTCAGCATCTTCTAAATGTGCAAAAACAGTTCAAAAGCCGTGGGAAACAAAGCTTCTAAGTTGCTAGCATTTCTTAGTCATTCAAATGAGACCTTCGTAAAAAAAAGAATAAACGCCCTGTGACAGCTTAATAACTTTCGTCAAAAACTATGCTTCTTCTGGCTCTTTTCCAATCCACTTCACTCCAAGAAAGAGAGATAGCTGTAATTAAAACAAGGTTGAAATAAAGCGCTTGCATTTAAGTAGAAGTCAAGTTGGGAAGTTAGCCCCATCAAATTTCTTCTAACTTGGGCTGAAAAAATGCAGACCAGCAATTCTTGACACCGAGACAAGTTTTTCGAAACTTTTTTAAAATCTGAGTTCCGACGATTGGTGCATCAATCTGATACCACACTTGAACCATCCCCCCCCCTACCAAATTTGCCAGAGGTAGTCATAATTGGCTGGAAAAAATAATAAAGAGACCCTGCGCCATAGTTCCTGCTCACCCTTCGTTAGTGGTCGGAACGATAAAAAAGTGAAAGCTGGAAAAAGTGTTGACTGGAGGAAAGTGAAAACTGGAAAAAAGCCCCAAGTTGTTCACCGTGCGAAGGAGCGGCGGTAGCCGAGTGGGCGAGACATACGGCGTTCAACAACGCAGGTCGTGGATTCGATGCAAAGTGTCCGCCCCCTCAACGTCAGGCCGGTTACAGTAAATTGGATCACTTCGAGCTAGCCACGAAGCAAGGACCAACATAGTAAGGAGGAAAAACGGCGGGGGGGGGGGGCGTTGCCAAAAAATGCAGTGCAAAATTCATTACATTCGGCATTCGGTCATTGCCAAACCAAATGGCACTCAATTACATGCACAGTCAGGTCAACTTAAATAAGTCTCATTGAAAAAACTCATTTAGAAGCGAGGCCCCTTTGCCCATTTGAAGCCTAATTGAAGTAGTGTAGAAAACATCAACTTTTGTACCTATCTGATACAAATCGCATAGATACTTAATGGCACTGAAAACAGAGGGGTGAACTTATACCTGAAATGAGCTATGAAAATTAAACAAGATTGAGAAAATTACAACTTCGAAACCTAGACTTCGATAAACTAAGCAGTAATTACACAGCCTAAAAAATCAACATTTCAAAGTAATAATATAAAAAAAGAACTCTTCGTCTTCTCTACCCTAGCTAACTAAAACCTTAACTGAGATATGAGCAGTCATCAAGGCTGAGTACGTAAGATCCATTATAAAATTTTTTGTTCCGCAGGAATTCTGAAAACTGAAATTCTTTTCAAAACAAAAAAACCGTCCGCGTTTTTTGCGTTAGTTTCAATTTCGTAATTTGACATCGTTTTTTGCCTAGCTCTAAGCAAATAAATTTGAATTGAAAACACTCAAAAGCCAAAATGCGAGAAAAAAAACACATTTGAGCGAGAACAACTTAAAGAACTTTTCGTTAACAAACAAATAAAACAGGACTTCAAATAAAATGAAATCTTCTAAAAAGAGTCTTTAATGTGTATATTTACCAAGAGTGCTTTAGTTTTTACAATCATAGCTGGTGCCTGATATATATACGATTGGACGAATTTATTCGTATGATTGACAAAATTTTGATAATGTCGAGCTGAAAAATCTGGATCAATATTGGATCTTTTAAGCCAGTAGGACATCCGCGAAGTGAACTCCATTTCTGAAGTACTTTTTTTTCGGGTTTTTTGAACCATTTGCAGGTTTTTGTTTTTTTAATTGTAGCTTGTAACTTGCTTATATCTAAAATAAGAAAGCAAAAGTCAAATCACCAAAACATGCTAGGGTTGGAATGTGTGGAAAACTGGAAAAGAGGTATATAATGGAATCATAATTCTAAACTAGTACCCGTAAACAAAGGTTTTTAAAAAATTAAAAACCATTTGTTGCTGAAGGAAATTGGAAACGCCATTTTCTTGATGTACGTTTTTTGAGTAAGAATGTACTATAAATTTTTTCAGTTAGATTTTTTTGATAATAATTGGCGCTTTTCGATTAAAAAAAAAACGTGATTTACCTCGTTTCGATAATAGCCCCTTCTCCTCAAACTGGTGACAAAAAATAATGTTCCAAAAAGTTCAAGACTATATTCGAAAAAAACAAGCCGTTTTATGATTGCCAATAATATTCTTCAACAATAAGCACAATATATATTTTAATGAGTGAGTTCTAAAATCCAGTTCTGATAACGGCTAAATTACTGTTTTTATTTGATCAATTGGTTTTAGGGGAGCTATGTTTAAACATGCGACTCATTTTATTTGTGTTTTGTTACTGACCTCACAAATGGGACAGATCCAGTCAGGTCCCCCTCCTGCAGTCCCGCTTTCCATGCAGACCAAGTGGAAGCCCCTAGGACACAAACTGCAGCTGAAGTCCACCAGCTCCTGATGACACTGCCAACAGGCTATGTCCTTCGGCTTGCCCCCTCTTCTCTCACTCTCACTGCTGTCTAACTCTTTCATGATGTCAAAATCATCCTCTTCCTCTTCGTTGGTTTCAGTAGGGACTGCATCATCGTTACTTTCATCTGGTTTACTTTTTGTTACTTTATCGGAGCTATCAACGTCATTATTGGCCGATGTTTCATTCTCATCTAATGGCGACCGCGTAGAGTTCAGATCTATGACATCAGAACTTTTAGAATGGTCTATTGAAGTGTTTTGGTTATCCGTGGTTTTGGGCGACTCCTGCAAGAAATCATCTAAGTTTGGAGACTCCAGCATGGATGGAGTTATATCACCCGGAAATTCGGCCAAAGACATGGAATTTTCATCCGAACCTGGTTGATTTGGTTCATTCGACCCCTCCCCCAAAATATCAGTTTCCTTCATTTCAGTTAGTTAGATTGCATGATTTCAGGTACAGTGATCATTGGCGTATCTGAAAACGAAATCAAATTAACCATTTGTTTAGCTAGTCTCGAAAAGTCACACGTTAAATCATCAAGCAAGCAGCGAAATGAACAAAAGTCCATAAAGTCAAACGTAAGTTTTGATCGTTGCGAATCATGTTAGAAATCGCTCTAAGCGAGCAACTGTTAAGTTGTTTGGTCTCTGCAACCATTGAAGTACGGTTAGAGAACAACAATCAACGCAACAAACTTGGCCACGCGTTGGAGTAAAAAGGCGCTTCCATTTTCTGACTTAAGATTACTAGTTCTACAAATGATCAAAAATGAACAACATTCTAAAAAAGGTTTGTAAGGCACAATTTTATAAATAATCACGTGCTGACTTTTTTGTTCACGGATCACCAATGAATAAATATAGAAAATAAGCACGTTTTAAAGCTAAACAAAAATAGTTCTTTTTTCTTCTTTTAGATGCCAGATAATAAATTTTGTAGTGACGACGAATAATTTGAACCCAGTTGTAAAAACATCATCATTTTTGAACGAATACAGCTACAATACGTGGAAATTATTGATGAAACCATTTATTTTGGTACTTCAGACTACAGAAACAACTACTTTTAAAGTTTTGTTTAAATTATTCAGACTACAGAAACAACTACATATAAAACGTTCAAATTATTGAAGAGTTCACAAAAAAACAACATTTTCTACTTTTCTAAGTATTTGTCTTTCAATTATGATAAATAAAAGACTGCAAAGCCCGGAGTGTTCCGACTGCTTTTACACTTGTCTGAATTTATTTTTTGTTATCATTTTGAAGGTTAAGAACACAGCACAAATAATACGTCAGTTTCCTACAATTTAATCGAACGAAACAACTTGGAGCGTTAGAAAAATCATCCTATTTAATTTCCTACCCTAGCCAGATTCACAGCGATTTAACACATATCTAGTAATATAGTAAAATGTCACAAACATTTATAGCCATTCCCCGATCGCGGCTTAAAAAAAAACATACCACAGACAATTGGAAGTGTCGAAAAACTTATGACTATGTTTTTGAGTAATGTTTTTTTTCAACATTCGAAACTTGAGGGCGAAAAACATCATGTTATAGCTTTGAACTTCGGGAATCTTTTATGTTGATACTTTTTCGCTAAAAAAGATCCAATTTAAGAAGACTGGATGAAAAGAAAAAATTATTCCGCTGGGATATATATTCACACAGAGGCAAAGCTCCGCTTCGCAAACACTTGTGAGAACACGACCAAAAAGCAGCTCTATAAAGTTAAATAAGAAAAAGTAGAAATAAGCCTCGAATTAGCAAAAAACTTGGCTACGTGTAGGATTCGAATCTGCGACCTACTGCAATCAAGAGATTTTGAGACTCACGCACTATCCCCTAAAGCTTAACAACCGACAAACACAAGTCACGAATTAAGCAGCTACATATGCTAACAAATTTTGTTGTGAATGCGATTCAGCAACAAATACAAATAGACTCAACTTTGCAATTAATAATTTGGAATATAACAAACTGAAGGCATCCACACTAACTTTGCATGTAACAAATTGCAAAGCATAAAGCCACATTATGTATAAATTATGAATTTCAAAAAACTTCGAGACATATTGAATAAAAAAATTCTGAAATCGAGTTTTCATAATTGTGATGTTGTTTGAAACCAATAGCGTTTTTCGGTTCAATTGATGAATTGAAAATTCATCAACTGTGTTGATTTATTACGATTCGAATGCCAAATTACATGCTATCAAAAAGCTTTAAGGTACCCCACCATTTTTGGGCTGCCGCACCATAAAATTGCCGCACCAATATTTGCAACTTAGGTTGCAAAAAAAGACGGTTCATCCTAATACACTAGCTTCGCAAGTGTAATTAAGTGTAATAAATTCCAGTTTTGAAAAGCAAAGCCCATTCAGGTTTTTTCGCATCATTTCGTTTTCTTAAATAGAGAGCGTTATTTGCCTTCACTTTTGCAAATGAATTAGAATTAAGCTCAGAAAAAAAAAACAAGACTGCTCATATCAAAGCGAAACCCTGAATGCTCCTCGACTGCATTTAAAGTCGAAGTTTTTTCTTTCGGTTCTTCATTTTATTTCCCACACCAACGCTATGTAAAGTTCAAATTGGTATATTTTGAGTCTGCTAAGGCAATATTGAGAACAAATGGCTTTACCCAGTGCAATTTGTAATGATTTAATTAGCCAATTACGGCTTAATACAGCGCTTATTTGAATTAACCGGACAACACGAAAAAAAATTCAAATGCGTTTTTCGCAAAATGGGTCAAGATTTGACGAAAAAGAAAATGAGACAAAGGTTGCTGAGGTTTTGATCATTTATAATATGATGCAATTTATTTCGCGAAAACCGGAACCAAATAATTGCCTCGAAACTTTTATAAGTTAATCAAGAATTACGTTAAAACTACCAAGTTAATTGATAAATAAGTTACACAAAGGGGCGCCTTTTAAATAACCAATCAACTAAACAAGAACTAGATCAGTGAAACCTCCAAAAATTTGCGCAAAACGTTCACAATTGGTTTTTAAGCAAAGTTTTTGAATTTTATTTAGTAAAAATGACATTTTTTGCTGTCACGCAAAACTATAATAACCTAAACATTTTTAGAATTTTTACACTTCTAGAAAATTGTTGGACTATATAAGAAACTCCTTTTGAGATAACTTTTAATCAACTAACTGGGTAAATTTAGCGTTACTCCTGCTGTAACATTTTAGTTCCGAATTTCGAAAAACAACTGCAACATAAAAATTCTGGTAAAATCTAGCTAACTTTTGTTTTTTGTTTCATTTTGTGTCTAATCTTAACCCAACTTGAAGAAACGGCTTAAAGTTTTCGTTTCTGTTCGTTTTGTCTAGGTAATTTAAATTAGCACTAGCGCGAAATAAACGCACGTTACTTATCCCAATTCGGACAAATAGCAATTTTCGAACCACCATAATCTTACCAAAAATGATTCCGCAAAATCTTTTTGTTCCGGCTTTCGATACGAAAGTAACGGAATATTTGTGCTCGGGGTGGGTTTTTTTTCCTTCAGACAAATTTCGACTTTTTAACTAGCCATTTTTGACGGAATTTTTTTAAATATCATTCATAAGGTATTGTTGTCCTAAGCTTAAATTTGAAAAAATATTACACCTGTGATCTGTTTTTGTAAAGTTATGAGGGTTTAAAGGTAGCCATTTTGACCAATTTGGGACAATTAACGCGCGATATAATTCGAGCTATAAACGCGTAAGCGGAGATTTAATTCGTCGTAGAAATCGTTCCAAATTGGTTGAAAGAAGCTTATTTGCCATAATTGGTTTGTTTCAAGGAACGAAATCTATCCTTTTATACTTTATATGGCGTGTGGGGGGATGATTTTCATTAAAAATTTCAAAAAAAAAATTTAATTTTATTTTATTTCAATTAATTTTTTTAATTTATTTCTGCTCCAAAAACCTTAAAAGGCAGTCGGAACATTCAGAGCTTCGCCCTGATATCAGCAGTCTTGTTACTTTTCAAATAGTTTTTAAAAAACCTTATCAAAATGGCTAGTTAAAAAGTTGAAATTGGTCAGGCAAAAAAACCACCCGAGCACAATGATTTCGTCACTTCTTTGAAAGTTGGATAAATGGAAAATCAAACTCAACTTACAGTATGAAATAGAATACACTAGTCCTCCGAGATTGTGCTAAATTTTGCAAAACTCAACAGAGAAAAATTTAAGCATGCCGAGCCCGAGAAAATTTTGCTTGCCTTGTAAGTTGATCAAAACTGGTTCGTTTTTTTTTGGAAAAAAAATTGCTATAAAATTCAAAAATGTTTCTGTAAAAAAACTTCCACCCACACGCTCTAAATGATTAAGGTGTTTTCTTTCAACAAGAAATCGAGTTCAATTTAAGATTGTTTTGTCACAAATTGGAATGCGATTAAAATATTGCTTAAATATTGGACACAACAGAAAATTTTAGTGCATATTAATTAGCCTAGCCCTATTTGGAGCAATTGGAAATTTCCACAAACGTTTTACAAAAAATCAAAAACAGATGAAACACCTCTAGCCTATTAATTATGATAAAATAGCACCGTTTACGTTTTCTCGATTTCTATTGAATTTACAGAAGTATCCACAAAAAGACAGCAAGAGAAACACAGGCACAAAATACTCTGGCCAGAATAACTGATATCAATCTCATGCGAAAAATTGAATGAATTCGATTAGTTCTCACTAAAGCATGTTGACACAGCAATCCAAAATTTTGGTTCCGATCGCCGAACGCAAGGATGAATTTTGACCTCATTTTAGTCGTTTCTTCGATTCAAAGTCAAGAACTACAAAACGACGGAAATTTTCAAATAATAATTGCTATTGAAGCCTCTCCGATCGTAATTTGGACTGCAATGAAAAAATCTGCAGAAAATTCTATGATTCATTAAGCCATCCAAATAAATCGAGCAGGAAAACTCAATTAATTTAATAAATGAGACCAGACTTTTGATGACTAAACTTAAAAATTTTTATGCTTTTTTAAAGAAAACTCGCACAACAGGTTTTACTGGATTAATTATTATTTTTACTCCGCAGGCGGAATCTAATTTGAAATGAACTAATTGAATTTGGAGTGGATTGGAAAAACACCAGGCTGCCGAACTATTACATTTTTACTGCAAAAAATGGCCAAAATAAGTTAAGCAAGGATAGCCGGTTACAGTCCAAGTAGCAGAAAACGTTGCAACAATAGTCCTATAAAACACAAAGTTTTTTCAAATTAGTGTCGTTCTTTTCTGCGTGGTGCGATAAAAATTATCTGAACGAAAAATTAGAAATCAGACATATTCAATATTCATAGTAAAGTAGGCCGTTTGGAAAACAGTTTGTGTAGGAAAATGACCAGAAAAACGAAAAAAAAAATTGTTAAAAAAGTTTTTTTGCAGAGTTTTTGAGTTTTGAAGTTTTTGATTCCAAAATTAGCGCTAAAAAACTCCATAAACATTACTTGAGCAAAAGTAAGTTTTCACGGCTTAAACTAAGCGTCAAAAAGCTTTTGCAAGCCTATTAAGCTCATCTGATTAGTTTGAAATTAGACCAAAAATAAAAAAAAAACTTCTTCGTGACTGAGAAATTTGTTTTAAAATTTTTTAATGTCGTTCAAATCACGACTGAAAGCGCTTTAATATGACATATCAATCGACCCATTCCGATGATTATTTGTGATACCTGATTTTGGTTCGAACAAAAACATTTTTTCAAATGGTCGGAACAAAAACATTCCGTTCATTAACATTTTAAAATAACGTTACTGTCGATTAAATAATCAAATGATACTAAATCTGCAGTGGAAAAAATCCTAGTTGGCCTAAATTTACCTAGAAAAGAAACACACTGCTACACAAACCGAAAACAAAAACTATCAAACGTAAAACCAAACAAGACTGCTCGTATCAGGGCGAAGCCCTGAGTGTTCTGACCCCCTTTTAAGGTTTATGGAGCAGTAATAACATTTAAAAAAATTAGATCAAATAAAATAAAATGAAAAAAAAAAATTTCTAAAATTTGAAATTTTTTATGAAAATTATCACCCCACACGCCATATAAAAGACAAAAAGATAGATTTCGCTCCTTGTAACAAATCAATTATGGCAAATAAGATTCTTTCAACCAATTTGGAACAATTTCTAAGACGGATTAAATCTCCGCTTACGCATTAATAGCGCGAAATATATCGCCCGTTAATTGTACAAAATTGCCAAAATGGCAATCTTTAAACCCCCATAACTTTACAAAAAACGATCACATGTGTAATATTTTTTCAAATTTAAGCTTAGGACAACAATACCTTTTGAATGATATGAAAATATTCCGTCAAAAATGGCTAGTTAAAAAGTTGAAATTTGTCTGAAGAAAAAAAAACCCACCCCGAGCACAAATATTCCGTTACTTTCGTATCGAAAGTCCGAACAACAAGACTGCTTGTTTCAGGTCGAAGCACTGAATGTTACGAATGTTTCCTCACCTATTGCAATAGGAAGGCGCAACTCGTTACAAGATTTGCCTGAAAATTTCTCAGGTACAGCCAACCAATACGAATGCGATAAAATATTATTCTAAAAAAAGACAATCAAAATAAGCATAATATGGACTTTCTATCCATTTGGCATTCAAATTTGCCAAAAGAATTTTTATAGGGGAGACAAATCCCTACACTGTACCATAGGGGAGTAAATAGTTAACGAAACTGCTCATATATCAGGGCGAAGACTGAATCTTCCGACTGCACTTAAAGGTTCAAAACTTATCTGGTTGAAATATTGACATATTCGAGAAAAAAAAACATTTTTTGTTTTCTTTTTTTTTCTTCAATTGATCCCCCACACGCTAACATAAGCTACGAAGGGGTAAATTAAGCGTCTTGTCACAAAATAATGCGAACTTGCCTCAATTCAATTTGGAACCCACCAATCAGCCACTTTGCGTGTTATAATAACGCAATACTTCGCGCGTTAATTAATCGAAATTGACCAAACTAGCATCTTTCAAACTCCCATAACTTTGCAAAAAACAATCGCAAGTAAAAAATCGTTTTGAATTTGAGCTCAGAAAAACTATATCTTTTAGATGGTATGAACAAATTTTGTCAAAAATGACTAATTGAGAAGTCGAAAATTGAAAGAATAAAAAACACCAAGCATAAATATTCAACACTTTTTCAAAAGTCGGAACAACAAGATCTTAAAATTATCGCGCGTTTATCATCCCAAATTGGCAATCTTACAAAACAACTTTACAAAAAATCACAGGTGAAATATCTTTTTAAATATATTTCACCCATCCTTTCATAAAAAAACACATCCTTTCATAGTAAAAAAGAGGCAGGAATTATTGCGTTTCAATAAAGCGGATTGAACAGATGCTACCAAATTACTCGCTAAAAGGAATTCGAGCTGCATAAGGTATACCAAAACAACTCGAAAAATGAAAACAAAAAGGGTGACTCAGGACGGAAAATGTTAACTTGCACTATAAAAAAGCGTTTGCTTGTTAGCAACCGCAGCAAATCAGTCAACCAAAATCTTTATGTATATATGTTTTTATTATAGCAGGCGCTCTTGTGAAGTTTCATTAAAAAACAATTCTGAGCCTCAATGGGCGTTATTTTTACTATCCGCCCACTTATCCCCTTAATACTAAACAAAAATATGATACCTTTGTACATGAAGATGATCAATTTTCTAAAACTTAAAATGGCTGACAATTTATGACACAGTGGCATAAAAAACAAGAAAGTTGAAAAAACTACTGCACTTTTCCGACTGGACTTTTAGGCCAATTAAAAAGTTTTTTGCTCTGAATAATTGACGAAATAATCGAAACAAATTTTTTTCATTTCTTTCTTCCTTTATTATCCACACGCTATCTAAAATACAAAGAGTGTATTAAGCGTCTCGTATTGTTTTAAAGGAAAATTTTTTTCAGGTTCGTTTTTTATTCCGAATTTCGAATAAAATGAGCAAAATATATGCTCAGGGTGGCTTTTTTATTCAGACCACTTTTACAAAACTCTGGTCCTTCGTGAGATCGGTCTCTTGATCTGAATGTGGTCAGACGAGTGTGCACACCACTATAGAAACCTGCCACTATAGTAAACTACTTTTTTTTTTATTCTGCACAAGGAAATCATTCCAAACTGAATTGAGGCAGCTAATTAATTTATTAACTCCATACACGACTCAAATTGCAACACTTAATTTTTGATATGATCAGCCTAAAGTTCATAGTTTTGCTAATATTTAATTTACCAAATTATCCCAAACCCATTAAATGGCAGCCGCAATATTCAGGGCTGTGCCCCGATCGATACAGAAGTCTCGTTCATTTCATCCCTATATGCAAAGATACAAAGGGTGTGTTTGGCGTCTCTTTTTATTTCAAAAGGACTAATGTGCTGGCCTCAAATCCATATATATATATATATATATATATATATATATTACCATTTAGGTGGGGCGGGATGCGGACGCCCTCCCCTTCTCAGGGATTCGACCACCTGCCGACTCTTTGGTACTTTTTAAGAAATCCATTTGTATATCTGAATTTGAGCGCCGGACAACAATATCTTTCAAATGCCTTTAAGAAATTCCGTAAAAAGTGCTTAGTTAGGAAGTTGAAAATTGACTGAATAAAAATAACAAGAATGTTCGAAGCAGGTCAAAGCCCTGAATGTTCCGATTGCCTTTTAATTTAGTTTAGACAGACTCGCGAGAGGTTACTATATTGGTCTGCACACCGCCTAGGCCCATCCAGATCAAGCGATCAATCTCCGGCGGGGCGAGAGTTTTGTAAAATTGGTCTGAATAAAAAAACCACCCGAGCAAGTTTTGTTCCGGCTTTTTTGGAAGTCGAAACAAAAACCACTTCAGGCATAAATATTCCTTCGAAAATCGGAAAAGACGCAAAAAATGATTTTTTTGAATAACTTTCTCAAATTAGTTTCGGTGCCATTTAAAATTATCGATATATACTATCGGGACTTAAATTCAAATCATGGATGACTTACCTTGCTTAAAATCTTTTAACTACTTAGAAGCGATATCATCGGGAAATGCGAGTTATTCATCCGACCAGCATTATGCTGAAAGACATTTTGGATTCGTGCTATTATTGCCACGCAAAATCAGGTAAAAAATCCGTGTCAAATTTCATATAATTTAAGCCAGCCATTTCAAACGTGATCTCAACTTCTTTAAAATGAATCAACAAAAAATATATTCAAGTATGCAAAAATTAACAATGCAAACTACTGCTTTTGCGAAAGAAACATTGGTCATTTGTGCATTAGGACAAAAAAAAATTGTTGATAACAAGTTTTTTATTCAATGTGAGCTCGAAATTTATGAAGCATATGTAGTAAAAGGTAGCAGAGTCAACAAAAAGACAAAGGACTGCCCAAGCCCACAAAAGTCACAATTGATGGTGGAGAACTGTCCAAAAAAGCCGCTGCTACTGTTTCAGATGGAAACTATAACGGCTTTACTTCAGGGGATTCCAATGGCTTTGAAGTGAAACGAGACATGAGTGCAAAATACGCCCAGAAAAATCACGATAGATGAACGTTGGCGTTTGAAGATCAAGCAACTTTCGAGGTCAAGACCCAATCAAACGATGTTTATTCCGATAAACCGACCCCCTAGTAAGCTAGGCTAAAATATACTTGTCATATTCAAATGGTTTTCAGGAGTAATTGATCCGTTTCAATCTTGTCGAGACAGGCGGGCAATTCATGATCTCCGGTTTTTTCTTTCAAACATCCGACCGTCGAAGTTCAGAACTCATTCAATTATTTCTTGAATGTTTGAGACATTCTTCTAATTGTATGGTGTTGTGTTACAGACTTTTGTTGGCCTTGGGCAGCCCTATAAGTAGTGATGATGTCATCCAAAACTTATTCAAAAAATAATTGTGTCTTCAGTTTTTAAATACCAACCGTGTGAAACTGTATTTCTCGACTCGACTGGATATGCAATTTTTCAGCTGGGCCAAAAGATGGCGAAATTTTCAAAAAGTTGATGGAACTATTTTCAATGGTGTACGACTATAGCTGATTTGTTGTTGAAACGAAACAAAATGCTTCTCTTTTGTTAACAAATTAATCCTTATTCGGCACGCAATTTCAACGAATGAGAAACGCGCGTTTTCTTGCATGTGATTTACTTTGCGCAGTTCTTGTGTCCTTATACTATATATTAAACACAAGCTAGCTAGCTAGCTTACAGAAATGAGAGAATATAACATGTAATCTCTAGAGCTTGGCGTCAGAAAAGCTAGCTAAGGCAACAAACACAGTGCGCATTTTATGTTACGCTCCAATATGCAATTCAACCATGATAGTATAATCCATGAAGTAAAGTATTGGCAGATAAAATACGCCGCTCACATTTTGGCAGAAAATATCAACGCTAACATTTATGTGCTGTATCTTTTCTTTCTTCATTCCACTTGCAATTTGAGCATATAAGGCAAAAGCAACAATTTTGGTGGAACATTAAAGCTTTGTGTGCCTTCATTTTCATACGCGTATCTTAGTTGTTCACTTTCACACAGCTAACAAAAGCATAACACGGTTGTTCTGATCTGTTCTATATGCTTTACGTTGGCTGAAGATATTTGCTCATTTTGCCTCTCTCATTTTAAGCCTTCAAATAGCTCTGATAAGGAAATGGAGCTAAATGATATTCAAAAACTGATGATTTAGTGATTGTATTAGTTATATTTGTTTTTCAAACTAGGATAATATGGTTGCAAAATTAAGTCGGGGTCAATTATGAAATAGGTTTTCACCATTTCATTCCATTTAACACGAATCCACTTTAAATTTTTAAAACAACTTCGATTCAAATAAAAAAAGGAAAAAATGCGGCGTTACACGTCCCATTATGCAAGTGCACAAACAGACTTAAGTAATTAAGAGCACAAACAGTTAACCGCAGCGTGGGGACCAGTGGCAATTTATAAACCAAGCAACCTTGACTGGCCAAATGACCTTTTTATTTAGAAATTTTCAATAAAGAGTCAATGCTCTACTTCGAAAAGATTTTGATTTTAAAAATGTCAATATTAATAAAATATAATAAGCAGAGCAGTTATTAAACATCTCGAGCAATTATTAAACATCATTATTAAATTTATTAAACATCTCGTTTGTTGCCAATTCGTTCATTGATTTATAATTTTATTTTGTATTTTGACATTTGGCTTGATTTCTCTAATTTTTTTTGGAAATTCCCAAACAATTTAATGATCGAGCTAAAATAAATTTATGAGCAGATTTCTGATATGATAGAGTTTATAAGTCTCGTTTGATTCCTCATACCTAGTCTAATTTTCCGGGCCAAGTATGGGAAAAAATGGCGAACTGTCTTTTCCGATAAACTTACAAAATAAATGGAGTAAGAAAGTTTGGGAACATTGGTACATCTTATATGGAATGAACTCATTTTCGTGTCACTTGAGCCGTAAATTCCATCCTCGCAAGTTTTTGTTCCGACTTCTGGTACGAAAGTAACGGAATATTTGTGCTCGGGGTGGGTTTTTTTTCAGACAAATTTCGACTTTTTAACTAGCCCTTTTTGACGGAATTTTTATATCATTGAAAAGGTATTGTTGTCCTGAGCTCAAATTTGAAAAGATATTTCACCTGTGATCATTTTTCGTAAAGTTATGGGGGTTTAAAGATATATTTCGCGCTATTAACGCGTAAGCGGAGAGTTAATCCGTCTTAAAATTGTTCCAAATTGGTTGAAAGAAGCTCATTTGCCTTAATTGATTTGTTACAAGGAGCTAAATTTATCTTTTTGTACTTTAAATGGCGTGTGGGGGGATGATTTTCATAAAAAATTTCTAATTTAAGAAAAAATTGCATTTTATTTAATTACATTTAGCTTTATTATGTTATTACTGCTCCATAAAATGTTAAAAGGCAGTCGGCACATTCAGGGCTTCGCCCTGATACGAGCAGTCTTGTTAATGTTTCAAATAATTTAATCTCTTCAACTGAGAAAAAAATTACTAACTACTGTCATTTTTGATGTTGAGGTGCATGTTTAAAAAACAAGTTTAATCGTTCTTAGAGTCTATAGAGCTAAAATCCCGCCTGCATTTAAAAAACGCAAGAATGCTCGTATCAGGGCAAAGCCCTGAATGTTCCGACGGCCCTTCAACTTCTCGAACAGTTTTGGATTTATGAAATATTGACAAACTATGAAGTTTTAAGTCATATTATCAAACTTTAAGTGTAAAAAGACTGCTCGTATCAGGGCGAAGCCCTGAATGTTCCGACTACCTTTTGAGGTTTCATGAGCAGTAATAACACAAAAAAAATTAAAAATAATTAAAAATAATGAATTTTTTTTTTCAAAATTTGAAATTTTTTTATGAAAATCATCACCCCACACGCCATATAAATTACAAAAAGATAGATTTCGCTCCTATTATTATATCAATTATGGCATATAAGCTTTCTTGAACCAATTTGGAACCGATTTCTAAGGCGGATTAAATCTCCGCTTACGCGTTAATAGCGCAAAACAAGTCGCGCGTTAATTGTTCCAAATTGGCCAAAATGGCAATCTTTAAACCCCCATAACTTTACGAAAAAAGGTCACAGGTGAAATATCTTTTCAAATTTAAGCTCAGGACAACAATAGCTTTCGAATGAGTTTTAAAAAATTCCGTCAAAAATGGCTAGTTAAAAAGTCGAATTTTTTCTGCAGAAAAAAAACCCACCCCGAGCACAAAGATTCCGTTACCTTCGTATCGAAAGTCGGAACAACAAGACTGCTCGTATCAGGGCGAAGTCTCAATTATTCCGATTACCTTTTAAGGTTTATGGAGCAGTAATAACATAAAAAAGTTAAATGTAATGAAATAAAGTGCATTGTTTTTTTCTCAAAATTTGAGATTTTTCGTGAAAATTATCCACCCTAACGCCATATAAAAAACAAAATGATAGATTTCGCTCCTTGTAACAAATTAATTATGGCAAATAAGCTTCCTCCAACCAATTTGGTACAATTTTTAAGACGGATTAAAACTCCGCTTACGCGTTAATAGCTCTAAATATATCGAGCGTTAATTGTCCCAAATTGGCGAAAATGGCAATCTTTAAACCCCATAATTTTACGAAAAATGACCACAGGTGACATATCTTGACAAATTTAATCTCAGGACAACAATACCTTTTGAATGATATTTTAAAAAGTTATGTCAGAATGGCTAGTTAAAAAGTCGAAATTTGTCTGAAGAAAAAAACTCGCCCCGAGCACAAATATTTCTGTACTTTCGTCACGAAAATTGGAACAAAAATTGAATCGTATCTGAAATCAACGTGACCAATTAGCTTCATGTGTTCAACATGGAACAATTTTTTGTGGCGAGTTAATTGGTCACGCGTAAAAAAAGGTCTTTACATTTTTTAGCATCAAAGTATAAAACAATCAGTTTAATTCGATTCGGTTCAGATTGATCAGACAGCCAAATTAATATTAAGGTAAAGCCATCCCGCGCGGCCCGTTTAAGCACAGTGATCGAGCCGTCACAGTTAGAAAAAATCCTTTTTAAAAAGGGCACTTGTCCCTAAAAAAACAAGACTGGTCGTATCAGGGTAATGCCCTGAATATACTGACTGCCTTTCAAAGTATGTGAAGCAGTGTTTTCTTAAGCAAAATTGATGCGTTGTCTTTCGAAAAGAAATAGTTTTTTTTGGAAAATATTCCTTCACAAGCCATTGAAGAGATGAAATTTATAAATTTTTCAAATTATTTCATTGCACGAAACGGAACAAAAAGGTATTTGAAAATATTTTGTTACCTGAATAGTTTCGCATTGATAAGTTTTTCTCAGCATGCGATAAGAGTTTTAAAACAACAGACGAATGGTGGAAAATTTCTAAGTTTTTCAAAGCTAGCCCTTCAAGCACTTGAAAATTTGAATTATTTGAAGTTTTAGCTTAAGTTTAGGAGCGGGAAATTCTGAAGACAGCTAATGAGCATGAGCAAAAAATCTTTGAAACGTTTCAAGCTGTTCAAAATGCTTGAACGAATTCGCGAAAAGTGCATCTTTTTTCACGGAAGAGATTGAGCGATGGAATTTTAAAAGTATTCCAACTGTTTCAGAGCGTGGATCGCAAAAAATGTTTGAGCAAGGAACTGATCATCAAAAATATTAGCTTGAATATATTCGGAAGAATTTAATTATTTTAAAGCAAGCTTATGAGCAATAAAACTTTGAAGTGTTTCAGATTATTTTTATAACTTGAATCGATTTGAAAAAAGTCAAAAAACTTTTTAAGCAACCTTTTGAACAACAACTATTTAATGAAAATCAGGTTGTCGTCATAGCTGACATGTATTCGGTATAGGTAAAAACAACCTATTGAAATAAATTTAGAAATATTTCAATTTGTTTGAATATCTTGAAACGATTCGCAAATTATTTTTCATTCGCACAGACATTTCAGCCATAATTTCTTAAACCAATTTGAGAGTTGTTTTGAGAGCAAGAACTGGTCCATGAAAAGATTTATTGAGCGATAACACTTGGAAATAGCTTCAGTTGTTTCGAACCGTAACAAAAAAAAATTTATCCGGCCAATCGCAAAAATATAGTGAGTCATTCAGTCTTAGAAGTAATTAGAAATTGGACTCGGAGAGGAAAGACAATGGGACAACGGGAAATTTTAGGAGCGGGAAATTCTGAAGACAGCTAATGAGCATGAGCAAAAATCTTTGAAACGTTTCAAGCTGTTCAAACTGCTTGAACGAATTCGCGAAAAGTGCATCTTTTTTCACGGAAGAGATTCAGCGATGGAATTTTAAAAGTATTCCAACTGTTTCAGAGCGTGGATCGCAAAAAATGTTTGAGCAAGGAACTGATCATCAAAATTATTAGCTTGAATATATTCGGAAGAATTTAATTATTTTAAAACAAGCTTATGAGCAATAAAACTTTGAAGTGTTTCAGATTATTTTTATAACTTGAATCGATTTGAAAAAAGTCAAAAAACTTTCAAAGCAAACTTTTAAAAAACAAAAATTTGATGTAGATCAGGCTGCTGACATAGCTTACTTTCATTCGAGATAAGTAAAAACTGTTTTAAAAAAAACTATTGAAGAAAAATAAGGAATGTTTCAAGTTGTTTGAATATCCTAAA